ACTAAAGAAAAGCACGACAAAAAGTAAGATGCAGCTAAAGCAAAGTTGCATTGAAATTTATATTTCTTTTATTTGCACATCATTCGAAAGAGAATTTGACGCTGAGCAAGAATATCACTTCTCGAACCTCTAAAAACCTTTTCTTCAGGACGAGATTTTCGGAAAAACTAGAAAGCAGTGAAAAATTCGATCTTTCGTGACTTATTAAAACGCGAGTTTTTTAAGATCCTTTACAGTAGGAAAACTCTAACTACCATATTCTTGTTTAGCGTCAAAAACTAAACTAGAAAAAGTGAAAACGGACCGTTTTTGATCCAAACAACTATCCGGCAAAGGATTCGGAAATAAAACGGCCAAAAAGTTCGACCCGTTTTTCCGACGTTTTGACGCGTTTTTCTAGGTATGCTAGAGCTAATATGTTTACTTGACTCGATTCTCTAGATGCTAAACTACAAAGTTACGGCGCCAGATTTTGCAATTCAAATGTTTCTAATCTCAAAGCCAAGTCACTTTTCCCTCTGATATTTATTCATAACGAATTTTGTCATTTCATTGACAATTGTTTCAGTGATAAATTCGTCAGGTTAAGTCAGATGTAACATATTTGTTCGATTTTTGTTGTCGATTTGTTGCCTCTTTCAGCTCGCTAACAGAGGTGCGTAAGAAAAATAATTATTAACGTTGGAACGAAATATTGTTTTCCTTCGATTTCTAGCTAATGCAGGAAGAATCGAAGCCGCAATGCCATTATTACTGGAACGTCCAGAAAACTTTCCGAAGCCAGTTTCCTCTGATGGAGGAAACTCAAGAAGGATTACAAAGGAACTACGCGAACTGGTAATTGGTGATCCAATACTCATGGCTGGACCCATTAATAATGATTTGTTCCATTGGGAAGCGATAATTCAAGGTCCCATAAATACACCTTATGAAAACGGTAAATTTATAAATCGCATTCTGTTTACAGACCTGTATCCCATAAAACCGCCCAAATGCTACATGATGACAAAAATTTTTCATCCAAATATACATGAATATTCGGGTGAAATTTGTTTAACTTTACTTGATCGCGGATGGCGAACAACACTCACAGTTGGAAATATACTAAGTGGAATTTATAATTTATTACAACAGCCAAATTCCGAATTCGAAAGCTGTCTGAACCTAGATGCCGGCCGTCTATTAGACAATATAGACGAATTTAACCGCATAGCAAAAGAATACACAGTACTACATGCAATCTAATGTGAGAAACTCGTTTGAGGAAAGTTCTCCACTTTTTCCTGCTTGAGAATCATGCTATTTTATGTTCTTCGAAGAAAAAATATATTTAATGTATCAAAATATTTAGGACTATTGAAGACCACTGTGTGGTGTTCCCGTCTCTAACTCCCTATTCCATTAAAGTAAAATAATGCCTGATATTTATTCATTTGCTTTTTGTGTTTCTGTATCTATCGTATGAGTCAGACCTAATGTGTATGCCTGTGTAACTTATTCGTCTCTCACCGTATTATGCACTAACAAGTTTTACTTTAGTGAACTGTATGTCATGGTTCTCCCTTTTTCTATTGTACTGTTTCTGTGTTTATTTTAATGTAATTCCTTTTTTCTGCCTTCTTCACTACATAAAGCTTATAGATATCCAGATGCTAGAGCAGTAGAGAATAAGTAGAAGACTATCATTTTTGATTAAAAATCAAAAGTGATCTTCGTAGCAACCATCTGCTCACTATTTTGCATAACTATATTTTTCTAAAACTTTAATCTGAAAAAGAAGCAGTTGTATAACATAGGACCAAAAACCGAAAAGACATCAAACGCTCTCCTAGTGTCAACAACATGGGTTAGAGCAAGAAAAGGTCATATCGAATGCAGCATGAAAAATTACATATACAAATGGTTTCTTTTTCAGAAATAAGTTAGACAACTGCTCACTAAAAGAAAGAATTATAAACCAAGTTTTTTTGTGTGACCCAATTGGAGATGCTAGGGTATGATGATCTCCTGAGACGGAGACCGCAGGATCAGCTTCCGGGTGTAAAAACGTGCGACCTTTCGTCACACTATTCCTAGAAGCCTACATGGTCCAAGTCATTCTGTTATACTAAACTAAAAACAACCAACGAATTCTATGCGCACGGACGCAAGCACACACTACACTCATGAAATCAAGGTATGTATATTTCTTCTAAAACGCAATTGTGTTGCCTATAGCTAAGTAATCATTATTAAAAGTTAGAATACGATGTACGTTGGGGTGATCAGCGTACAGTGGAGTAACTGGGACTTTTTAAGCATTGGGCCAACTCCCTAGTTCGGAAAAAAAGGCTGGGCCACAGTATAATAATTCGAGAAAATACCCAAGCAGACAAACATTTGGAAAAACGCGTTTAAACGCTCAAAGGGGAACCGCGATTGTGAGTCAGTAACGCTCATTAAAAAAACGCAAGAAACGTGTTTTTTGCGCAAAATTTTCACTTTCAGACCGTGAAAACGGCGAAAACTCCAGTTTTTGAGCGTTAAAACTCATTGTTTTTAAATTCTGGAGTAAAATCGCGTTTGAACGCTAAACAACGGGAGTTTTCGCCGTTTTCACGGTCTGAAAGTGAAA